AGATGCTGATGGCAATCATAGTTACACCCCACTTGTGAGTGCCCAGGGACATGTGGCTGGCCACTGTTGGAAACAGATTGCTGGGTGTCCGATCCAGCAAGCAAGTTCTCATGTTTTAATAACGGTATGGTCATTAAAGGCCCTAACTTGGATGGCATAGGATAGCCTGAGCACATCAGAACTCAGAAGCCAAATAGGGCCAGCCCTGATTAGTACTTGGCTAGGAGGCCACCAAAGGAGTCCAGGGCTGCTGCACAGAGACAGGCCATGGCAAATCTTCTCTGGTCGTTTCTTGCCTTGAAAAGCCCGATGGGGAGGATTTCCAGGTTCCTCCTGGCAATAGGCGGTGGATGGGAGGGATTTACCAGGAGCAGGAGGGAGGCCCAGGCTACGTTGCAGGTGACATGGGGAAATGGTACACACCAGAAGTGACACCATTACATCAGTAACATTACAGTGACAATCTGGTATCAGGGCAAAAACTATGTGGTAAAAATGGCTTCCACTACAGTGTTTTTGCCCAAATATCAGAGCGTTGCCATGATGTCATTGATGTGATGATGTCACTTCTGGCATTCCGTGTCGCCAGTCACACAGCCTGGGCCTCCTTTCTGTTCCTGGTAAATCCCCCAGCCAGTGGGGGGGGGGCCCTTGCGGCGAGGGATCCCTCACCTCCCGTGGGGGTGATGACAACTCTACCTATGGGGTTGCCATAAGTCAGCTGTGACTTGGTGGTACTTTCCACCACCTTGGCCTTCGTGTACGTTGAAGACCATTGGCCTATGTGCAAGTTGTTGGGGAAATGTGGGGTGCAGGAACCTTTTCATGCACTCCCATCTCCACTGTGCTATGGAGCAGATGGTCATGGAACCTACCAGGGGAGAGGCGATCCTTGATTTGGTCCTAAGTAACACTCAAGACCTGGTGAGAGATGTAAAAGTGATTGCACCGCTTGGGAACAGTGATCATAATGTTGTTGAGTTCAACATTTGTACAAATAGGGAATTGGCCAAAAAGACTCACACAACCACTTTTAACTTTAAAAGGGGTAATTTTTCTGATATGAGGGGACATGTGGGGAGGAAACTGAAGGGAAAAGTAGAAAGGGTCAAAACCATTGGGGAAGCTTGGAAACTGTTTAAAACTACAATTCTAGAAGCTCAAATAAAATATATTCCGCAGGTTAGGAAAGGCACAAACAGGTATAAGAAAAAGCCTACATGGTTAACAAACAAAGTAATGGAAGCTGTAAAAGGTAAAAAGGATTCCTTTAAGCGGTGGAAAGCTAGTCACAGTGAGGCTGATAAAACAGAACACAGGCTATGGCAAATAAAATGCAAGTCTGTGGTCAGGCATGCAAAAAGGGAATATGAGGAGCATATAGCAAAAAATGTAAAGACCAACAATAAAACTTTCTTCAAATACATTAGAAACAGGAAACCAGCCAGGGAGGCAGTGGGGCCCTTGGATGACCAAGGGGTAAAAGGAGTACTGAAGGATGATAGGGAAATGGCTGAGAAGCTAAATGCATTTTTTGCCTCCGTCTTCACTGTGGAAGATGAGAGGTGCTTGCCCACTCCAGAGCCGCTGAGTTCGGGAGGGGTGTTGAAAGACCTGAGTCAGATTGAGGTGACGAGAGAGGAGGTCCTAAAACTGATAAACAACTTAAAAACTGATAAATCACCAGGCCCAGATGGCATACATCCAAGAGTTCTGAAAGAACTCAATTGTGAACTTGTGGATCTCCTGACAAAAATATGTAATCTCTCCTTAAAATCAGCCTCCATTCCTGAGGACTGGAAGGTAGCTAATGTCACTCCCATCTTTAAAAAGGGTTCCAGAGGAGATCCGGGAAATTACAGGCCTGTCAGTCTGACGTCGATACCGGGTAAATTGGTGGAAACCATTATTAAGGAAAGAATTAGTAGGCACATAGATGAACAAAACCTATTGAGGCAGACTCAACATGGGTTCTGTAAGGGAAGATCTTGTCTCACTAACCTGTTAATGTTCTTTGAGGGGGTGAACAAACATGTGGACAAGGGGGATCCAATAGATATTGTTTACCTTGACTTCCAGAAAGCTTTTGATAAAGTTCCTCATCAAAGGCTCCTAAGCAAGCTCAAAAATCATGGGATAAAAGGACAAGTCCTTTTATGGATCAAAAACTGGCTAATTAATAGAAAACAGAGAGTGAGTATAAATGGGCAGTTCTCCCAGTGGAGGGGTGTAAGCAGTGGGGTACCACAGGGATCAGTACTTGGTCCACTGCTTTTTAACTTGTTCATTAATGATTTGGAGTTGGGAGTAAGCAGTGAAGTGGCTAAATTTGCGGATGATACGAAGTTGTTCAGGGTGGTGAAAACCAGTGAGGATTGTGAGGCACTCCAAAGGGATCTGTCAAAGTTGGGCGAGTGGGCGTCAACATGGCAAATGGGGTTCAATGTGGCCAAGTGCAAGGTGATGCACATTGGAGCCAAAAATCCTAACTATAAATACACGTTGATGGGGTCTGAACTGGCAGAGACAGATCAAGAGAGAGATCTTGGAGTTGTAGTAGATAACTCACTGAAAATGTCGAGACAGTGTGTGACTGCAATAAAGAAGGCCAATGCTATGCTGGGGATTATTAGGAAGGGTATTGTAAACAGATCAGCCAATATCATAATGCCGCTATATAAATCAATGGTGCGACCTCATCTGGAATACTGTGTGCAATTCTGGTCACCACACCTTAAAAAGGATATTATAGCTTTGGAAAAAGTGCAGAAAAGAGCAACTCGAATGATAAAAGGGTTGGAACACTTTCCCTATGAGGAACGGTTAAGGCGCTTAGGGCTCTTTAGCTTGGAGAAACGACGACTGAGGGGTGACATGATTGAGGTTTATAAGATTATGCATGGGAAAGAGCAGGTAGAGAAAGAGGTACTTTTCTCCCTTTCTCACAATACACTTATGTTCTTATGTTCTTATGTGCTCATTCTGGGAGGGAGAGAAGCCAGCTTCCCAATTTGGGGGGGGGAGAGGGAGAGAGAGATTGTTCTAAAACAAAACTCAGTTTATTCCATTACACACTCTTAAGTCAGAAC